CCAAAAAAACTATCCAGTAGTTTTTGTCATGCTCTAGCCTATCTACCATAAGAATATGAGCGAAATTGAATTTTCAACCCTTGCCGCGAAATTAAGAATTTGTCTGATTTTTTCAGGCAGGCACTCTTAATAGATAGAGGGTGACCCCTTAACAGAGGGCCGCTTAATAGAGGTTTGACTGTAATAGGGTCTGTCTGCGGTGATATTCATAACTGAGCTTGTGGAACAGGTATTTGTCAAATGTGTTGCTAAATAACACGGCATATCCTGATGTGTTATCATGTTGAAGCAAGAACTTGTGGAATAAGCGAGTGTGTTTTCCCTACTTCGTCACTGGACAGTACATACAGCTAAGCTCTTTTTCATGATTCTCTCATGATAAATTCACATCACATTCAAGTCATTCTAAGTGTTCCAGTTGACATTTTGCTACTCAAAAAGTTTCAGTAGTTAGTTAGTAGTTAGTTGGTGTGATGTTTTTCAGGCCAAGCTGGCTGGCCAATATTCATACTAAATATCAAGCAATTACCAAAAAACACATTAACAATGGACAAGAAAACCGCTTTCTTTGAAAGCAAATCAGGCATATGAGTCAACAGCCAGTGTCTGTCATAGTTTTGATTCACGACAGCGTAGGTTCCAATCATTAGCTGATGTGTTTACAATTTTTGTATTTCGGAAAATCATTCACTGAATTGTTTTCTTTTGGCAGGCCGCACGCTTGACAGCTGCTGCACGTCATTTCAAACAGAGAAGTCTTCAGACCAGAGTATTTGGATATCCTTCTGCCTCACAACTCGACCTTGATTCATTTGTTTTGTTTACTCACAGTGCAGATATGAAGGTATGTTACTGGTTTTGGTTGTAACAATTTTTTTTCTTTAAGTGTTCTTATTGTTCAAAAAACAATGTATGCTTATTGAAAGAGGAACTTCAACCTGGGAATTGAAACAACTGTAAAGTAAGATAATTACAGGTGACAGTCACAAAATGAAAAATACTCTAAACTAATACTCAAACTCTCTTTATCTCAGGCCAAACTGTTGTTTATGCCAGTTCAAGGCTCCTTTCTGTCTGGTGTTGTTGCACTGCTTGTGTTTGTGCTACTTCTGATGCTCCAATCAGGTGTTATAGCTGGCAGCAATATGTACCTATAAGAATATGCCTCTGGTAACCCGTGGGAATGCAAGAGAGTACTTACAGGTACTACAGAGAAATATAAGACATAATCCAATTACCCAGGACTAATGGTATTTTTCTTGCTGTCTCTGGTCCATTTGGCAAGCACCATTTAATTCCTTTTCTTGTCCTAATATGCATGCTAGGAAGTTCTTTACTTTGTGCTAAAATATGATTGTGTAGCAAATATATAAAAAATTTTATCACAACAAGTATAAAAGTATGGCTTTGCTATTGTTCTAAGACATATCTAAAGGTGTATCTTAAGGATCGCTAGCAAAATAAACCACTTACATGTACGAATCTTTTCGGTCTTTTCAGGAATATCTTAATATGTAATTTTGTCTGTTAAACACATACATTCAAGAATTTAAACAAACTTCTCTTAGCATAAAGAATTGTGAAAAGAAATAATCGTGGCATTGTAATAGCTGCTATATTAGTGGTTAGACTTTTTTGGTTCACTATAAATGGTATCCTATTTTGTGAAGAATTTTTTTGTAATCAAATCAGCTAAAAAAATAGTATTTGCCAATAATTATTTTTTTTATTATTGTTTGGGTTTCAAAAAACAAAATCAAGATGTTTGGTACTTGTGAAGTTTTTTCAGGCAAGAAAAAAATATCCGTTTGTAAAATTGTATAGTTAGTTTAATTGATTTGTGTGATAATAGAAACAATAATTTCCAATGAAAGTACTCAGTAATAGGTTTTAGGTAGCATTCTTGTAATTGAAAATCTCCCACTGATTGTATTTTGGTTCTATATTAGGGGTTGGGCTAAAGATTGAAAGAAATGTACTATAAACAAAATTGCACCATAAACAGGATGTGAAACGTAATGCTCCAAGACCTCTTTTATTTACATGAAATGTATTTAGAAATGGACATATAAATACTAAATGTTATATTGTAAATAGAGTTTCACCTTATAATTTACAAATATTCTGTATAATAAGAGTGATGTTACTTAACGTGTGAAATGTAAATCAATTCATCAGTATGTTAAGCTTGAAACAAAGTAAAGATAGCGGCAGATTTTAAGAATAATTAACACCTTTTAATGCAGGATCAATGTTTCACAAGTTAAACAATTTCACTCAACACTAGAACAATAGATTTGTAGAAATTAATCCATATAGAATAAATGAACTATTTTTCATACTTTTACTCCTCTCTTCGTTGCTCAATGTCTTGTGAATATTTTTTCATATTACAATCCATATTCATCCTTGCCATCATAAGATACCCTCACTGTACAATCAACTAATATTTGTTAACTGAGAGAGTCCCCCTTTGAGGTAACTAAAGTATGCATACAGCCAAGTGGTCCATCAGGCCAGCACTTATCTCTGGTTTCTGTAGCATGAAGCGACTAGGAGTATTTTTATTCCCCCTTGGATGAGATGCAAGTCCATCACAGGGTTACCCCCAGCATTAATTTAGCCAGTACCCATTTGTACAGCTGGATGGAGAGGGACACTTTGAGAGTAAAACGTCTTACCCAAGAACACAACACAATGACGCTGGCCAGGGATCAAACCTGGACCACTTGATCCAGAGGCAAGTGCACTAACCATGAGGCCATTGCACCTCCATATTCCCCCTTTAGTCTCGGCAAAAAGTGATTATTACACCATACACTCAAATTTTGTACAACAAACATGTTTGCAAATGATGAGCCAAGTCCGGCATCAGTAACAAGCTTTTCATGCATTCTTCCATTACCAGAATAACTACATTGACCATTGTCAAATCCACTCTTTAGCAAACTGTTCTACCTGAAATAAATAACCTATAGCCTTTTTTTTACATGCTTTGCATGATAACCTTCCATATTATAATTATCCTATTTCAAAATGAACTCTGTTGGTGGTCTCTTAGCAAATTTAACTATTTCAGTGCAGTTGAACTCTTGTTGAAGACTACAAGCTTGTCAAGAGTTTGAACTGATAATTTCACATTCAATTTCAGGCTTTTCAGCTGATGAAATAAAGATGTGGTGATCAACAGTTTTCAACTATTCAACATGTGATAGAATACACCTTAACATTACAAGAAATAAGTACACACAATCTTCTGAAAACGTAACTAAAACAGCAGTAATGAAGACCCTGCTACCTATTTGGGATGCTATAATTTTAACAGCTATGCTATCAAAATAATACTTTTGTGACTTGATATTATTCATGATACTGCCAACAGAAGGGACACCTGAAAAAAATATAAACAAACAATTGAACACTTCCACCTGGTATGAATACGTGTTGTTTTCATGTTGCTGCACACCAGCAAGGTTTTTTGTTTGCATCACCTCCTATTTGTCAAGTACCACAGATACTTTCATTCACCCAAGCATGATGTTTTGTAGCTGTTTGGCCTTGTTAAGATGAGCAGTTGTATCGTAAAAGATATGGGAAATGCTCTTATCATTACTGACAGTACTTGTGCTTACCTGTTGAATGGATGGACATCCGATAATCTGTTGATCTTCCTCAGAGTATGTCTCTGTCACCAAGTCATTCATCTGTTTGTAATATTCTTGGACTTTAGCCTGTGATGATAGAAAAAAAAGATACTGAAAGGTGAAGTCACACGCTTTGCTGGTGTTTGGTTCCACACTCAATGTTTCTTTTTGCAGCAATTCTGAGAAATTTGGTTGGGGATTTGGTTATTTTCAAAACAATGTAAGGCAAGATAAAGGAACATTACCTTGACAGGTTTAAACAGGATATACTCTGTGTCTTTGTTTGCCAGGAACAAAGCCATGCTCTGTAAAGTACTGGTCAGTTTGGACTTGAGTAACATGTAGGTCTCACTCACAACTTTGCGAACATTCTCTGAAAAAGAAATTTAGGAACGAGAAAGAGGTTGGGTAATGTTTTGTAGTATCTGTTGTTTTTGTGGCAGTTAAATCACAAGAGTTCTTTCTTATTAGAAAGAGTGAACAGAATTGATCTCTGATTCTTCAGAGGCTGAAAGAATTAACTGTGGTGCAAATGATTAGCGAGTCATGTTTACGAATTTGCACCTCCTGATGTCATGTTTTTGAGTAAGACAAGTTTACCTTTACATTGCCATATAAATGTGTACCAGCAAACTATTGGGGAAATGTTCGGGGGGGGGAGGTAACCAGCAATANCTACCATGCCATACGGGGGGGGGGAACTCACAAACACTTCTGCTGCAAAACACATTGTAACAAGTACTACTGACTTACAATCTTTGCTTTTCTGTACCCATACTGGAGTAACTAAAACGACCTTCTGTAAAATCGGTTATGGGTTGGTATATGCTGTAATTTCTCACAAATGTCACCTGGTTTTGTAAAAGGCTGCTGCTTGAGAAATGCTTTAGTATCCTTTTTCTCTTCCTCTGCAAGATTCTTAATGACTGTAACCTGCAAAACAAGGAAAAAATAAAGCTAAAATTATATATGTACAGCACACTCTGTCTAATAAATGGGGTGTGATGGGGACAGCACATCTGAATTTTCAAGAAGTCTTGTAAGTATTTGCAACATTGGTAATTTTTCAAAGTTGATCTGAATTTGTTTGAAAGTTCTTTCTTGGTGAAGGATCATCAGGCAATTTTGCATACACTAACAGAGTGAAGTGACAATACTGGAAGTAATAAATTAAAAATTAAACACCAAAGACTGTGCTTGACCACATTTCCAAACAACGAGAAGAGGGTTGAAAATATGACACATAGCGCAGTATTTTTGATGAACTTCAAGGTGTTTGGAAATGTGGTCAAACACAGTCTTAAGTGTTTGATATAATTATCTTCTCATTCAGAACTAAAACTAAGGAGATGGAGACATAATATCGTAAAAATCTATGCTAACTGATATCAGATATCCAAACACCGTCACGGTCATGATATCCTTTGAATGTTTAAACTTGATGAGTTATTAATGAGTTTGAGAAATATGAACCACAGAGAAACATTTTGGGACATTTCTCTCTCTAAGCTCAGAGTCTCATGAAGTAGGCCTCAGTCATTATCTTGTGTACCATCACCTGTGGTTGCATGTAAGATACTCTCAACAAATTCTGAATGAAAGGACTATATTTACCTTTGTCAGAAATGCAGACAGAGGGGAGATAAGTGACTCTGATACATTTTGGATGAACTGCTCACACACAATCCTGAGTTCAACGTCAACATCCTTGGTAAAGAGCAAAAATAGATAGTATGGCATAGTATGGCATAGCATGTGGTTTTGGGAGAGAAAACATCTGACATTGGACATGTAGATGTAGCTATTCCATCACATATTTGTGAAGTTAACCTTTAATGGGTAAGCAAAATTACTACTGACAATCATTTAATGAACACTTCTGTCTTTACCTTCTTTGAATCCAAGTAGTTTTCTGTCAGCTGTGGTGCACCCTGAAAAAAATAACACAAACTGAAACTCAATTTTTTAACCCTGAAACTGATCAATTTCTCATTCTCTTGCAAAATAATCAACACGTTTAGTCTTACACACAAGTTAATAGACTAAAGACAAAGCATTTGCACTTACATCCAAGAGGAATTCCAGAAGAGCATTGCTACTACTAAGGGCAAACAATCTGTTGCTGTGACTCCATAAGCCATAGGCTGCTGTCCTCATCTTACTGAAATCTAGTGACATTTCTTTGACAGCAAAATCTACATCAAAAGGTGCAATCTGCTCCCTGAGGATCAGTAGGTGCTTTATAAGGAACAAATGACCATTTATGGCATCCTAAAACAAGCAAAATTCACATAAAAGTCAAGCTTTGTTCAAATTCAATATGTGAATTGAAACAAACATATTTTACAGGCATGTAATTCTCAATGTTATTGAGTTAGAGAATCAAATTTACTTTTGTATGGTCTACTCTGTTACACACCATAGAAGTGACATCACAAATTTTATATGAAGATCAAACTATTCAAAACAAAAATTATATAAAACTTTAAGGTAAAAAGCTCTTAAAATTATGAGATCTGTTTGATCATCATCAAACGGATTGAAAACGTTTAGAGTCATAATTTTAACAGCTTTTTACCTCAAAGTTTTATGTTTTACTTTTATCGGTGAAATGTATATAAAAATTATTATATATTAAAAGCTGCAAAGATCTGGACATTTTATGGGATCATTTCTATGATTGTACTGAATGGCTACATATAATTACTATAATTAAAATAATAAAGTAAGATTTAGACAAACATGATGCTCTGATAGGACTGTAGCTGGTCAAAGAACTAAGATATCCACTGTGCTCCTGACTGAGACGTATGGGTTATTGACCAAGTGTGAGGTCAAGATGGCTGGATATTGGCCAAGTTCTTTTTTTGCGTGTTTATGGACCAAGGCGGAGTTGAGGTCCATAAACTTGCAAAAAAAGAACAAAGCCAATATCCAGCCATCTTGAGCGAACAAACTTGGTCAATAAAGGATTTATTATATGGCTTTCGCGGAAATTTTTCTTGTGGGACACGGCAGGTAGTCCAGAGCGGGCAAGATAGCTCCACCTTGCCCGCTCGGGTAGCCAATCACAGTGCAGGATTTGATTCATCCTGCCCGCTCACAGAGCTAGCCATATAATAATATAATATAAAACCCCAGGGGAGTCTCCCATATGAAAAGGTCAGGGATGCTCTTTGTCTCACTTAGGAGTATAAATCAAGGATTCTGGTTTCACTTGGGGTGTTCATGATGAAACACCACTATTTTTAGCTGCCAAAGTATCTTTTAGGGTACACTCAAAGAAATAATAAAATAAATTTTCCAACAAGCCTCCCCGACCGTTTCATAGGGGAGTCCCCCCAGGCATAATTCTGTACCTTTCTCTGGGTAATAAGTGCACTTGCTGTTTTAAGGGACTGAATGCACAAGGACAGAGCCTCTTGAGACAAACCTTCAAACGTCTCTTTCTGATACGGACAAAAAAGAAAGATTAACCGATGCACTGCTATATTGACAACACACCTAGACTATAGGATACCAAGTATGGCTGCATGAATATTTATTACCGGTCCACCAAAACAAGGAGACAATTCTTACCGAAATACAGCGGTAAAGTTTGGAGAGACAAACTAGTGTGCGTCTGACAGTTGGGTACCACATACCCTGCAGGTCTGCCAGGGCTGCTGGCAATTCTGAAATCAGAAAAGGATACAGATGTGAAAAATGCCAACTGTGTTTTGTAATAACTTAAAAGCTTTTACAACCTACCCACAGGTTTCTTCTCTTCTCCTTCAGCTTGTTTTTCCTCTTTGTCAGCATCACCTGTCATCTATAATGACAACAAACATGTAAAACACAAAGAAAAGAAGGTGATGGGCAACAGAAACGGTAAAGGTTGAGAGGCCGGTCAACACAGGGGAGGGTGGGGAATAAAAGTGTTCTCACAAATTGCATTTCTTCTATGTGGTAGAGGCAACTGTTCCAATGCTGAGAATTCTAGAAACTGTAAGAGTTCAACAGCTTAGTACTGCTCCCCAGTTTCTGAAACACCAAGCTAACTGGAGGCACATTTTCTCTGTATGAGATTCTGGTCATTAGTCACTATTGGAGACAGACAGAGCGAAGTGCCTTGCTGATGAAAACATATGAGGATGGCTGACCTGAACACAGACTTCTGGATGCAGAGTGTATGCACCTTACTTGACCACTGTGTCTTCACGTTAATTTAGTTATAGCATTATAATCTAATTTTTGCTGCAAGTACTGTAAATTCAAACAACATGCCTACTTACAGTGTGACTACTCAAACCAGGCCACTTGGAAAAGAGTGGAACCAATCAGATTGTTAGTTGAGAACAAAGGATAGCGATCTTTTTAAATTCTCAAATAAACCAATAACTGAAGAATACAAACAATTGTAGTTCCTGTCAAAATTGAAAACCCAACAAACTGCGAAGTGTTGCAAACCTCTTAGGAAACTGCCATTTGTTGATTGGTTAGTTTTGATCCTAAATTTTTTACGGGAGGTTAAGTCTTCAGATAGCTACTTCCCCCAAGCTTTGGGCAGTGTTTTGCCCCTTTCATTTGTGCACCTGCCAATAGTTTTGTCCGATCCAGTGCTGGCTTCCTCAGTGCCAGGGAGATCAATGAGGCTTTCAAGGTCACATGTTCAAATTTGACCTGCCAATACTCTTGCCCATTTCCAGTGCAGGGTAGTGCTGGTAAAAAGTGAGGCTTGGAAGGTCAGCATACTTGCTATTGTTATTTTGTAATCAACTTGACCTGCTGTTACTATTGTCCGTTTCCAGTGCGGTAGTGCTGGTGACAAGTGAGGCTTTTAAAGGTCATGCAAATCAAAGGCACTTCCCATGCCAACCGCGAGGTTGTGTCCCCCCACATTACGCCAAATGATGTGTGGCTTTCTTTATTTACTGATATATGTGCTATAATAATAATGGGCTATAATATGACACAAAAGTGACCTCTCACAGAACAGGGTCATTAACCTAATTTTTTTACGTTTTTCAACAGTTTCAGTTAGATTTATAATTACGATAATTTGTTGTCAAAAACTGAATCTCTAAAAGTGTATATATAACACAGTCTGAGTGTATAGACAGACAGAGCATATAGGTCAAACAGACCATTACTTGCTGTCAGGAGAAAGTTACCAGCCCATTGTTCTCAGTTGACATTGGTTCTTCTAGGTGGCCCAGCTCGAGTAGTCACACTTTAAAAGAAAGGACTCCATCATCGGATCAGCCTTTTGTTCTTGGGCAAGATAACCTTCTTTGAATTCACAGTGACTCATGCCAGGCAAGTGCAAACATATCTACCATTGCGTGGTAGTCCAGTGTTGGATATCTAGTCTTGAGTAACTCTCCGTATACTTACCCCAATAACAAGTTTTTCAGGGTATGCCAAATCACCCGGAGCTGGGGAATATTTCTGGATGTCAGTCTCGATGTATGCCTGAAGATTAACATGAAAATAAAAAAAAACCCTTTAAGCTTTAAGCAAACAAAATGGAACAATGGTTAACTCTATCTCTCTTGATGTCGTTTAATATTCTTCATTGCATTCCTGTTGTGCTCTTGATAACATAGAGCTGGAGGTCCTCGATTTTTAATCACTGTGTTAGTGATCACCTGTGCCCTGTAGACTAATCTTTCTTGTACATCCTCCAACATCTGAAGAACCACAACTTCAAAGGCAGCTAACTCTTCACCTTGAGAGTGAAAAAAAAAATTAACTTGATTTTTAATCCTCACCAAATCTCTAATTTCAAGGATGTCTTGTAAAACAGTAAAGAAAAGAACTTTTTGCTCTAAATCACAGACTTGTGTATTTAAAGTTTTCTTTTTACACGCACCTTTCTGTTGTACATGATCTTCAATCATCTCAACCTACAAACAATTATGAAGGGAAAAAAATTACTATTTAAATAATGATGTTATTAATAGTTTTAACCCAGTATGGTTCACAGAACATTTTCTAATCTACTCCTTAACATCAGTGAAGCTTGTGGATGTTTAACAAGAACTAATTATAAAAAGGGCAGCAAACATTAAGTCCATGTATTCAAGAAGAGTCAGGACACTTTTAGGCTGCAACTTCAAAATAATTTACTCTGAGTATTTCCAGAAGTTTAACAAGGAAGTACCTTTAATATTGTGCAGAGTTCAGTCAAGGTTTCCATGTGGTTCATATGAATAATAACAGGTCTCAGAGAATCATACAAGGTGCTGCACAGGATTTCTAACAATGAGCTAAACAGGATAGGAAAAATATTCATTCATTGCATTCTCAAGAAATTGCTAAACATGACAATCGGGACATTAATATACACAGTGACGTTGATAATCACATAACATGTACCACTGATGGGATTGACTTACTCTAGGCCTGCACTTGGCTTTGAGAAGAAGTGATAATATAACTGGTATTCATCTTGACAAACGTGAATTAACACTGAACATCCTGCACGAACCTTAGAACAACAAAAAAATTATGTTATGTACATAAAGACTGTTCAGGGTACTTAAAAACCAATGAGGTAAGTCTTGAACATGTTTTAATCATTATAGTCAAGACACCTACTAGAGAGCAAGGGTTTCTCTCATACTGCTTGGCCAGTTTGTCAATGGCATCACTGACACAAGGGGTGAGCAGCTGGGAACGCTGGGATAAATAGCAATGCTGACAGTCACTGAGAAGGGAGCTGTACCTGAAAGTAAATAATGTGTATAAAAAAACATATCTTTATGGTGAGATTTAAATCTGTGGATTTTTTTTATGATAACAAAGAATTATCCTGAAGCAGTAATATTGTACATTGCTAGATACCAATTCATCTTTTTTTATCAAACTTGTTTTATGTGTAAATCCAAACAGTTGACTAATGATACTTACTCAGAGCTTAAGTGACTTCTTTGTTCAATTTGTTCCATCAAACTCTGTCAGTAAAAGATTAAAGCTAGAGGTTAGGTCCCCAATACAGGAAGTAAACCATGTCAACAACAATTTTGGAGAATCTTGCAAATTTGGATCTTATCATCTAATTTGAGTAGATAGGGTAAGTCACATCATTTTGGTGGGCCTGGATTCTTACAGAATTATTAACGGAAACTAACCTTTACTCGAGGTGCACAGGTTCTGAATTTTCCGTAAAACAGTGCAAAGGAATTCTCAGAAGTGTTTCCACCCTCCTGTAAATTAGCAAAGTTCAAACAATGATTGAGTGTGATCAACATCCATTACTGACAATAATCAGTAATTTTCAGCACCTTACCTTGTTTGTTAAGACTTGTGCTGTTGCATTTTTCAGCAAGTTCACAACATGTGTTTTCACCTGATTCAGGGCTTGGTTCAAGCACTGTTTGAATCTAACAAGATACACTGGAGACTCTTTAAACTGAGGCTATAAGGACAAGGACAAACAAGCATGAATTCAGTGATACTGACTCAGGGCTGTGGTCTAGCAGAGCCCGGGTGCCTCAGGCGACTAAGTTTTGTCTTTGGACGACTTGTTTAACTTCATTCTTATGAAAGCTTGTTAGAGCTGGGAACCCAAGATTTCCTACATAAGAACCCTTGGGCACCTTACAATTTTGCTTAGAGCAGAGACTTGCTGACTTGTGGTATGGTACACATGGGGTGAAACGGGAGTGGTTTGGTTTGACATAAACAGTATGTACAATGGATGGTAATGTTTAGACAGGTGACATGGTTCAATAGTAGCTATTATTATATGGCTACTGTAGCTCCATGAGGAGGCAAGATGAACCAAATCCTGCACTGTGATTGGCTGAGAGGGCAAGATGGCACTATCTTGCCCACTTGGGACTACCCGCTGTCTCCTGTGAAAAATAGACGTGTTCTTTTTTCCATATAATAAATCCTTTATTGACCAAGCTTGTTCCGTCAAGATGGCTGGATATTTGCCTCATTCTTCTTTTTTGCATGTTTATGGACCGAGACAGAGTCAAGGTCTATAAACATGCAAAAGAAGAACTTGGCCAATATCCAACCATCGTGACTGAACAAGATTGGTCAATAACCCATATTTATCCAACAATAGGGTTATGTGTGTTAGGGAGGAGGAGGAGCAAGAGTATCTTTGAAGCTTTAGCTTGCTCCAAACCTAAAACCTCTGTAAGTTTTATATTATTTGTTAAAACTATAGTTACCCTAAAAGAAAATTAATATCTAATTTTCAATGCATTTGAAGTTAGAAGAGAAGATAATACACAAAAATAAAAACTTACATTGCTGGATATAAATGAAATACACTCATCAAGTCTGGCTAGCATTGGAACAAATGCCTCACTTGTCACTGAGACAGTGGGTGAGTTGAGTTTCTGAAAACAGAACAGGTTTATTTGTCAACACTTTATTTGATATGTATGACCTTGCTAATTAAGGTCGAAGTTAAAAAAGAATTTTTCAGAGCCAAAGAGCCGTGATACTTACGTGTCTGAGATGATCCAATGCATTGAAGTACGACAACTTATTACTGATACTTTCAGCCATGTTCATCAACTTTGTCTGAAAAGTTGCAAGTTCCATTATAGTTTTTATTAGCAAACCAAACCTTTAAGATTCAATTTTCATACGTAATCACAGACATCATTTTAAAGACTACCGTTTAGGTGCCGACACGTATGCACCATCACCATCATTGTCGCCGTCTTTGTCTTTGTTGTCATACACGTAATGTAATGTAACTTGTTTAAATCTAAGTCATTCATCACTCACTTTAAAATGCATACTGAAATTTGTAATACAGTAATAATTATTGCCATAATTGTAACTAAAATTGTCTAGTACATCAAGAAAATTATTGTACCCACAGTAAGGAGAATTTCCACCAACATCAAGAGCTAAATAAACAATCTCTCTCACCTGATCCTGGAGAAGTTGTTCACAAGCTTCATGAAGAGCACCAGTTTTTGTGGATACAAGTAAATGTTTGTGCTGTAAATCTTGCAGATGGTTCAATGCTGATTCCACCTCTTTAAGAATACTGTCACAGTGATCACGATATGAACTCAACTGTGCAGCATATGACCTGAGGAAATCAATAAATTCAATGGCACTTGAATTTTACTTCAATTTCTAACAAGCCATCATCTCAACTGTAAACTTAGAATATTATACCTGTAAGAAGATTCTTGCTCCTCTTCCATTTGAGCCTCAACATTTGCAAACCAGGCAAAAAACTGTTGGCATGAGAATAATATCAAGTAAAAAAGAATTCAAATTACTGTCATGATGTCACAAGTCAACAACACTGGTTTTTAACATGTATTCCAAAATAAATAGTCTTCCAATCCTTTACATGGCCATTCCCATGCTTGCTTACACCCAGGGACTTGTGTGAAAGTACATCTACATTGTGGAAGTGGTTCCTGAAAGGGGGAGGGGAGGGGGGACACCTTATAACGGCCTATATGGGGAGGCTCTGCCTGAAAGGGTTACCTTTTCAGGCTTCAGGTATATAAAAGGGTAGGGATTTCATAAGTTGAGCTATATGAAAAGGTTGGGAAATCTGCTGTTTAGGTATTTAAAAGGGCCTTTAATTAAAATATTTCAAACAAATGCACCTTGCAGTTGTATCTGGTAATGCTTGATGCTCTCCCGCAATATTGTTCATTAACTTTGTTTTAAGGGTTTAGGAAAGAGATGTAGTGTTCTCATATAGGCATGTGAAGAGGTAACTTTTTTCATAAAAAGTATACGAAAGGGGTACTTTTTCTGTTTAAATGGAATATTTCTGTTTACATGAAAAGGGTGAGAAGTTGGACCTTATGATGGTTCATCCTTGTGTAAAACTTTGTAGAGTAACCCCCCCCCCCCTCCCCCAACCCAGCAATTATGGCATGGCAGATCCAGTGGTGCCGGAAAGGGGCATGGGGTGTGGAAGGAAAGAGGAGCCTTGGTGTGGCTATAAATGGAAGTGGTTGAGTGAGGACTGGGGTATATTTTATCTTAAATTATATTTTTGTATCCTTTTGGGGATTGCTGGGACAAGTGGGTCCCTCAGGACCATAGATCTGCCAGCAGAGTGACATCGAATTAATCAGCTACCAACCTGTTGAGCATTTTCTATCTTCTCTGATCCCAAGTCAACTCTCGCCATGTCCATAGCAGCTTCTTTACTTGTATCACTCAGGGTCCTCTTGGGTGGCAGACTTGTGCAATCATCTTCAGGTAACTAAAACCCAAACGATGGATTATTTCTGGTACCATTAAGATTTATTGTTATTCTTTAGTTCTTTAAAGATTTAAAATGGTTCCATTTCCATATAAAATGGCGTCATTGGCTATAATAATAATAATAATAAAATAACTTACAGAAAAACTGTTTAGGACTTAAAAGAGCCCTCACTTCAAACGTGGAAGCCATATTATTTGTTATAACGTGGTTATAAATATTAAGTTATAAAGCTGTGATCATGATGTGGGCATGATAGATGTAAGCTGACTTACCTCATCTAAAAGCGGACGGTTTCCTGCTACAGTGGTCAGTTCAAGTACACTGTTTCTTTGCTTCTCCGATAATGGCGCCAGAGGGGAATCCTTCACGTCCCATAGGCTTAGTTTCTCCCTTATTTCGTTAGAGTACGGCGAAAATCCAACTTGAGCCGCCATGTTGGCACTTTGGACCGAGGTGCATTGTTGTCTTGATAACTGGACCGCATTTTTTCAGGGTAAGCGGTTTCTCAATAAAAACAAAATGGCAGCGATGGCAGCAGAACTGTCGACTTTGGTGAGTTCGTTTTTGGAGTCAAAACCCGAAACGTATGCCCCCTTTTTCTTAGAATGTGTAGATTCAAAGCAACACCTCGGTGAAGAGGTAAGAAAATATCACAACCCCTTCTGTGGTTTTATGTTTCGTTAAGTTTTTTGACGTCTGTTTTCATTCCTATACCACGTGTAGTGTTGCACACCTACTCCTAGGCCTGGAAATGGTCTTTTAATTTTATTATCAACGTTTTTCCTTAGAAAATTCCGGATGGCTGGATTGGGAAGGTCAATTTCCTTCTAAATTCAAAGACAGATAGGTAATTTATGCCCCTTATCATATGAAAGACAAGACATATGTTAGGTCATGTTACGGGGCACAGGGGATCCAGGGAATATTAAATTTAAAAGTGGTGGGACTTCTACAATCTCAATTAAGAGGCGGTGGAAGATAGGGCGAATGGAGTTATTCCCAAAGTGATAGAAACTGGGTGGAATGCGAAAGAATTTTCAAAAATTTGGGTAATATTTTAATGATTGAAAGGAAGGGAATGGCGTGAACCTGAGTCGAACATGGAGTAAAAGTTACAGGAAGCAGGAAGTCTCCAGGCCCCCTATATTATTTGTACTCGTAGATTTAAACATTTTTAATTCATTATTTTCACAGTCACAGTGCTTTTCTGGGTATTGGAACATTTTTGCCACTGATAACCTGACAATGGGGTGGCCAGTAAATTATAGACTAGAACATGACATTTGCTATTGATTAGGAGAGTAGCAATGCTCCCATTTGTTTCATAGTGCTAGCAAAACAACAGGTGATTTTGACTTCATGATTCAAACAACATACAAAGGAATTGCACAAAATTATCTCTTTTTTTTTTCTCAATGTATCAGTTGGTTAGGTATTTGTCTCCTTGGAATAACAGTTGAACAGTGTGATACAGAAACCTTCAGGACAAATTGTTCATCCTGGCTAAGAACTATTCTCAATATAATTCAGGTAATGAAAAGTAAAATAGCTTCTTAGGTCATTTTGAATTCTCTGTCTTGTGTGTGGTTAAATCTACTTTTTCAAGAAAAGTATTTTTGAAAAAAAAAATACAGTTCAACTTCTCAATGTTCTTTATAGGTTCCAGGAAAATCAAGTGTCATTCAGTATTGTAGCAAACTTCTTGATGATATTTTGAGATATGCCTCAGAGGTGAGATTCTTAGAGCAACAGTTTTGTGTAAACAATAGAGTGCAAAATAGAAATTCTACTATTTTTGTTTAGATAAAGGCTCACCTGTAACAATAACAATTAAGTATGATTTTATAATAAACTCCTTATTTACACTCATTCTCTCTTAGTTTTCAGAGCTGTCAAGAGAGTTATCCAGCTCTGTTATTCCATCCATTGTTTCTACATTGTTGTCTAACAAATGCTCGGTGAGTTATAAGAAAACTGACAGATCCTGTACACAGACAAGCCACAAGTTTGAATTCAGATTTAAATTCTTCTCATCATCTCACTGGAATCAATCAGGATGCTTTATTAGAATAATAATAAAAATATTATTATGCACAGACTGCACTATCTTACAATAATACAATTATAGCTTTCCAGTTACTGTCAGTATCAGATTACCAATAAAATGTGACTTGGACAATATTATGCTAATTAATGCTTAGCCTGCAAGAGCATATTTTTTTGGCTCTTGTTTCATATGTCAAGAAAAAACCGTCTGCAATACTGAGCGAGAGGAACAACTTCTTTCACAGACAATTTTTTCTTAGAGCGCAAAACAAGAGCCAAAAGAAACCCGGATGCTCTCGTAGACTGGCTAATGCTGTCTGCATGCATGAGCCAATGGTAAAGTTTGACTTCTGAACAGTCTTTTTCACATTTGAGCTTTTCTGTACAGGTCTATGCTTGTCTTGTAATATATAATCATCGTAGATATTATAATTTGATCTTTCGTAGGATGACCCAGCTGTCTTGTCTATTCTTTCTTCTTGTATACAACATTTTCCAGGTCCAGTTGGATCCTCCAGGGTAAGTAAAAAGTTAACTGCTACTAATTGTGAAGCAACAAAGGTAAACTTGTAATTTGTCCTTGCAGTATCTCTCCAGCAGTAAACATATCTTTAAATTGTAGAGACAGGTACCAGGAAATTATTGACAAGTTCTCAGGGGTGTAAATGTAAAAATATGTAAATTCTAAATGAAAATGTTAATCAGTTAAGAAAGTAATTTCATATTCATTTGATGAATTTACTGTTCTTTGTAGCTGTTTAAATGATGTCACTGTGAAAATGTTGTGTCGATAAGTATCATTTTTTATACTGTCATAATTTTTTTTTGTTTTCTGTAAATGGTTTCAGAATCAAATTGAGAAATTCCTTTTGCCATTCTTAAGTTCAGCATGTGATGAAACTTTGAAGGTGAGATAAAAATTCCACTGCTCTTTTTATTCCTAACTTCCTAACGAACTTATTAAAATTTATTTTATCAATGTGGCTTGATTAGCGAGAAAATCATGATGGTGATTGCATTTTTTGTTGTAACAGGCAGCATGTCAATGTTATGCCCTGTTACCAAAGTGCAGTCGTAGTGGATCCAGTGAGAAGAAACAAGTATGTGCTTGGGAGGTACAGTGGAAGAAAGTTATTTGTACAATTCACAAACTTCTTGATGCTGCCTATGGAAGTGTTGAACCTGGTTAGTGAAGGAAAGTCTTTCACTCAGATTTAAATGCTTTGGGATGTGAAGAGTGAAGACTTCTGTTGATTTGCATGAATTTTTTGTGATCTGAATTTAGTAAGGTTTTGATTGGTATTTTTTTGTATTTATAAACATAGTAATTTTCCAGTATTTATTTTAGTTGTCTCCAGACCCACGCAGCAATCTACCTCTGAATCGGAAACTCTTCCACTCGCTGACGAACTTCCACTAGTTGAACCTGACCGTACACACAGCCTTGTCACCAGATGTAACACATTGCTTTACTGTCTGTCTTCAATGATTAGGTACCAACTGATTTCATGATGTTTAATATTTAAGAAATAGAAAATATGTACCATGTTTCTATCAAGTTAGAGAAGCAAGAGTGGAAGTTTGGGAGAATGAGAAATGCTGTGGGAACACAAGCCGACAGGTGAGTATTTCCACAGCTTTTTCAAGTTCTCCCAAACTTCCACAAGTGTTTCTATAACTCAATAGAAAGATGAAGAACATGTTTTCTATTTCTTTTAGAAAAATCTGTGATGAAAAAAAAAAAAACTTAATGTAAGTTTAATTTCATCATCAAAATGTAAATTATCTTTGCTTACACCATCATTATGTCGACAGCTTGTGCTAGTTCTGTGTTTCTATTAAGTTTTAAATAGGAACATGATTTTAAACCAATCAGCACATGTATCGTCTTTGGGCTATTTTCTAATTACATATGCAGACATCTTGACTGCAACTAATGGGGCTGTTTACTAGGAGCAATCAGATTTGATAGTCTTTCCATTCACTTTGATATTCAAAATTTCTGTGACTTGTTTAACATGGAAATAGAGCATAGAAATAGAGCATTGTCTGCTGACCTTAGCCACAAATTAGTTATCAAGGAGGTCCTTCTCAAAGGAAGTTAATTCATCATTGTGTTATTGTAGGGAAGAGTATGTTAAGGTTGTTGCAGTTCCTGTTGATGCTTCGATGAATCTTTTGATCAGAATAACATCAGTGACCAGTAACTCTTTGGTATGTTGAGAAGCTTGCAATATAAATTAGCAGTATAAGCAATATTTATTGTTTCTGTGTGGAAAGCTCCTCTGGGTTTATAGTACCTTTGACCCCAGCCTGTGAAGGTATTAAAGGTCCTGACCAGCACTTTTCATAAAATTCTGCTTCATTGTAGTTGTTTTCATTGGTTAATTAACATTCTTAAAGCCACCATTAATGGTTTTAGACAAATTTGCTTGTAATGGATTGATCAGACTCATTATTTTGTCTCATTTGCAGAGGAATGCTGTAGTTGTGGAATCTGTCTTGTTAAGAGCTAGTTTGCCTTTGATTCATACAAATGCCATAGATTTGTTAACAAACCTGATATCCAGGTATGTGTACAACTGTATAAGCGTACATATGTAGTTAGGTCTAACGTAATGATACCCTTGAGTTGACCTTTAGTTTTCAAGCAAAATTTTGCCATTTAGAAGTGCATGTTACCTGCCTTCAAAACGGGATTTTTTTAATTTGTCAAAAAAGCCATTTGGTTGTCCAGGACAAGTAGATTTTTCTTCTGAGCAAGTAATTTTTCATTCATCCTTGCCAATGGGTAAGGGATCAGGCAAGTCATCTACCAACTAAATCATTAAAAGGGCAAACTAAGACTTGCCCAGGGCAATCAAAATTTGAGAGCAACTTGTTTCAACAGGAATTCGAGTCTTTCCCAAGCCCTGAAAAAGGGCTTAAAGTTACCCGTTGCTTCCTCAGTACAAACTTAGTCTAGTAAATGTATCTTTAATTAAAAACCAAACATCTCGATCAGCACTTCATCCACTGTGTTTTCTTAAAAACTGGACCATAGGTGTGGAAGTTTCATGCTGCCATTCTCTGACTTGGTAATGAAGCTTCTGGTACAAGAACTTACTTGGACAAAATCCCAAAATCCTACATTAGGGCAATGTAGGCCTTACAGGTAGGGAGACATTTCAAGCTTACACAGCAAATCGTCATAAAGCAATTATATTCATTGATGAACTAAACTACTAAGAGCTTTATCTATTGTTGCCTTGTTAGGAAGCTGAGGTGTTCTGTTTATGGCTGTGTTGAGCACTGGATCCAAGTGACAAATAGCCTGCCTGAGGAGGGTGGTGTGGTGGCCAAATTGGTTCAACATATACTGGATGATATAAAACCTTTAGCTTCTCAAACAAAGGTAATACTCTGTAATCCTTTGAATTAAATTTCCCCACTCCAATTTAAAACACTATGGCATCTCACACCTGCTAGTTTTTTTTGTTTGATTGTAGTTGTTACCAAATGCCAGCTGTGGGACTCAACAATTATTGTCCAAAAAGGTATTTGAATTTCAAAGAGCCAGATAAGCATGAATTTAAGATTCCTTCCAAGTTCTGCTTTTTTTGATTTACTCATACAGTAAATATTGATTTTTTCTTAGGCAAAGAAAAGAAAAATTCAAGATGATGTTGACCAATTATTGACAGGTATGACATACTGGTAATTGAAGTTATTGCATATCTGAAAGTCCTTTCTCAAAAATATTTATCATGGTACACCTCACTTCAGATTTGCTGCTAATTTTCATGACTAGACTTTCTTACATCCCAAAGTTTCAAATTCAATTTAATGCTAGTACACATTCCTATTTATACAGGTCAACAAAAGTTTGATGTAAATGCCAATGCGGTGATTACTTACAGAGCTCTTAAAGGTGAAGAAATAATCTTATACTACAATCATGCTTATGATAAAAAAAAAGCAGAGCTTTATTACACAATTCGTAAGAGATTAAGATGGTTGGATTATAAAATTTGTTATATGTGTTTCTCTTTGCACTAATCAGGATATATTTTAATGTGTTTTTTTAAAATATTAATCTTTTGTGTCAAATTATATTGTTTTTCATCAACAGCTTTATGTGCTCTATTAATTGCTGGTGGAAGTGACATTCCTCGTGAGGTGGCTTGGGTTAGTACAGTAACCATTGCCTTTTTTGAGTTATTTTTTTGTAAAAAAAATACCTCTTAGTCGGCACGTC